AGTTCCTTGTGTTAGTTAAGGGGACTTTTGTCTTAAGACACCATCCGAAAACAACCTCATCCTCTCAGAAAGAGGAGCAAGCATGGGAAATATTTTCTGAAAATCCCCTAAATGAGAGCTGAGGCTTTTCTGAGATTACCAGGTAAATAACAGAGCTGTACTGCTGAGAACAGTGAGCCTTTCCAAATTGTTTAATCATATTGCAATCTTTGAGTCAAGACCAGCATCTGGATTTTATCTGCTCTCCAAAATGAGCAGGACTGGTCAATCAGAGAACAAATGGAGCCAAAGAGATCATTTGGAGACAGCAGGCCCCATCTCTTCCTATCCCTGCAGCTCCTGAGAAATGAAAGCACACACACAGCATCCCCTCTGCAGTTCTGCAGTCTCCTACCATCTCACTGGAATCCAGTGAGATCCACCAGCATCAGAGCTGGTGCTGAAAGGGAGAGTGAGGGAGAACATGTGGAACTGGTGCAGGAAGGGTAGAAAGGGACCAGATTGTGCCTCTGGGAAGCTACAAACTGCTGGAGAGACTCACACTTGCCTTAGACTCCCCTGTCATGAATTCCAGCTTAAACATGGCCTAAGAACTCTGCACCTCTGCCCTCTCCCCACTGCACTTCCAGCTTTTTGGGAAGGACAAGTCGTGGAAATACAAGCCAGATGTGTGAGTACTGCAAGTCAGTAAGGATCTCAGAGAGACAGCACACACAGAAAATCAGGGCAAGCTGAGTTTCTCTGCTAGGGAAGGTGGGAAAAGCAGGTTCTTAACTGCCCTTATGATCCTCATGTACTTCACAAGCAAAGCAAAGGAGAGGCTGACAGAAGGATAAAAAGCAGCACCACGAACAGCCCTTGCCATTTCCTGGCACAAAAAATGAAGGTTACTGCTGATTGTGCAACTACAGACATAGGCTCCAGGTTCTGTCTTGGTTCCAGGGATAACAGCATTGCTTCACAATGACTTCCCTGCCTTCTGAATGGCCCTGGGAACTCTGGTGTGAGGTAACCCTTTCCTTGTGCAAGAATACAAGAAAATGCTTTCTTCCCTAAAAAGTGGAGGAGCAGCATGCAGGGAAAGAGAAAATCAGTTTTCTAGAACTTGTTTTCTGTCCTTTTCTTTTTCTCTGCTCATCTTTCACTGATGCTTTACTTTGGAAATTCCCCAGTATTCAAATACTTTCAAAAATGTTCTTTCCAGTTTCTTGCACAATTCCCTTTGGAGCCCTTGTATTACTTATCCTTAGCCACTTTCCCACACAGTGATCACTGTAATCCTTTCTTCCTTCAAAATTTCACACTCTTTCCTCTAGGGACATGCTGACATTATTGCCCCAAAATTTACTCAGCTGGAACATGGGGTAGAAAATGCAAAAAGTCAACTGTTGCTCATTCATGAGAATGAAAAATGGGAATGGAAAAAAACCCCACTTCCCACTTCCCCACATTCAGAACTGGAATAGTAATCTTTGTTAATGTTAAAGGTATAGTGTAAGGATATCTGAGCTGAGATGGATGCGTGCTACATGTTTTTATTGCAATAGAGAATAAGCCATTTTCACAATTTCATGCATATCCTTCCTTTCTTTTCTACCTTGTATATTTAAAGACCTTTTTTGCACAACAGTTGGTTACGTTTATTACCATATTGAAGTAAGACATTTTTAGCTTATCAGATTGGAAAAGTAAGTCAGCAATATATTCTAGTTCTCAATAATTACAGGATCCCTTTCCAAATCATGTAGCAACAGCTGTACCAGCACATTTCACAAGTCTTCTCTGGATTCAAACCCTAAGGCAGTACAGCAATGTGTAGACTTCCACAGAAGTCATCAAAAGAAAGGTAGTTGCACAAGATAAAAAATTTGATTCAAGAAAACCTTGAGGGTTTGGTTTTTTGTTTTTGTTTTACTCATTTATTTGCTTATTGCACAAAAAGCAGAGCTATTGGTCTCCATAGCAAAGGGCAAATGGAAGCAGCAGCATTTAACAAAGAGAAACAGTTTCTACATGGTGCACCAGGGTCAGTGTAGAAAGGACTTCTTAAAATAAATAATGCACACAGAAACATCTGGGGTTTGTCTGCAATAGATTAAAAGACTTCCAGCAGTGACCGGACAGGGTGTCCTAGTTTAATGAAAATTAAATTAATTTGAAAGCTTTCGGACCACAGAAACTGGATCGCTGTGTGCCTCTCCAGAGCTCCATGTCAGGAGCCAGAATGGTGCTGAAACCAAAAGGAAAGGGACTTGGTCCTTCAGCCTCACACATCATCCTCTCTGAAAATCAAGAAATCAAAACCCAACTCCAGGTGCCACAGTCACGAGACTAGTGGCTAATTGCATCTTGGCTTATTTCCTGGCCCTCTTCTCCTTCCTGTCTGCACCAGCAACTTTCACAGCACTTCCACTTCTGCTGCTTAGTTCAGGCAGAGTCTTTTGGATGCTGTTCAGGAGCAGTGACCAACCTTTCTGTCACTTCAGGCCCCGGGAAGAATTACAGAAGGCTGAGATCCACAGCTCTCTCATCGGGTAACTGTAAGTATTCCCATCATATTCCTCCATCTTTCCTCCTCCGTGCTGCTTTCTTTCCTGAGATCCTCATCATGTACACACAACCTTCCCAGCTGGAGATCCAGCCTGTTCAGTGCTGCACAGCCAAAAGGCATTCCATCCCCAAACCATGTGGAATCTGTAATTGGTTACAGAGATCCTCTGGGTTGCCCAAAGCCATGGGCAGTGCCTTATTACTAAAACTTAATCTCTCTCCTTTCTGGGACATTTGGTGCCTGAGGCTGCTCTCTCCCTGACAGCTCCCTCCTGACATGGCACAGACTGGCCATGCCTCTGCCACAGGGACAATTCTCTTCTTTCAGCAGCTCTGCCCAGCATACATCACCTCCTGGAATGAGAAAACTTAGTCCCTCAAAGTCAGGCAGCCATCACCAAGGACTACCCCAACCCCAAAAGAAACACTTCTTCTGGAGTCAGCCCTCACCAGGGCCTGTGCTCCTGCCAAAAAGTAATCAGTACTTTTTCTTTTCTTTGCCTGTTCCCACTCCCAACAGCCTGGGCTGACTGAGAAGAGACAAGTGAACCTCAGTTCCTGGGTGTCAGTCTCTATTTCATGTCAAATGCTAAAAAGGTGCCGCTTTTCAGACTTGAAGCCAAGTTGGACTTTCCCTCTTCTCCTTCCTTCTCAAGATCTGACACTTGCTGCAGAGTCAAGGGCAGATCACTGCTGGATCCCAGAAACCTGCCAACCCTGGACACTCAGCAGACTGTACACATTTCATATTTCCTTGCCTGACATGAAATTCAGTCAGTCTGAACAGGGTTGGATACACATATAAAAACATTGATCACACACATATTAGTGGTCAGGATTGCCCAACACCATATTTTGGAGGCTTGTTTGCTCAAGGCCAAGCAAACAGACATTTTAAAAACATAAACTCAGTAAAAGCAAAAGTGCTTATATCCAGAAAACATCTCTGTTCCTCAGACACTGCTTAGAAAGAGGAAAAAAAATTTAAAAATTGAAATAGTTCAACATTCCAATGTAAAGACATTCAGTGCAGCCCTGTCCCGGTTTCATGGTCACAGATGCTGTTTCATCTAAAGAACATTTGTCTCATTTGCTTACATTCAGTTTCCACACTTTGTAAACAATAGGCTTAGATGTTGACTATATTTACATTAGAACACAAAATCAGACATCTGGGTCAAACTGAGAGCCCTACAGCTCCTGCCTCTGACAGCAGCTGGTAGTGGATGCCCAGGGAAGACTATAACAGGAAAAGTATGGCAACAAATGTGTAGTGCTTTTTCCTAAATACTCTCCCAGCCCCCAGACACTTGCAACTCAGAAACTTCCTGAGCCACAAGTGTGCTCTTTGTATCTGGGAACCCTTGACAATTTAGATTAACGAATTTCTCCAATTTCATCCAGCTTCTGATTCACTGGGTGATAAAAGTTACTGGAGCAAAACACATCTTCACTGTGCTGCTTCCCTTCAGGACTCTTGGGTCCCTAAACCGCTGCTACTCCAGCAGTGGAATAAGAGCGGTGAGTCTCCACTTTGGAAAAGCAGGAATCATCAAAGTAGCTCTATTCGATCTAAAGAAACACTGACTCTTCACCATTTGAGAGGATCTGTGGTGTCAGGCCCCTCATCACCTGCTGCACCCCCAGGGAGTCCAGAGCCATGAGGTTACTGGGAAAGCGCCGCGCTCAGAGCAGGCAGCACTGGCACTTCTACTGAAAACCACTGCTACTCCTGCCCCCTGTAACACCCTCCTGACTGCAGCATCCTGACCCCTGAAGTCCCAGGGAGGAGCCCATGCAAGGGCCTGGAATAAAGGCTTTGGGAACATTACTCTAAGTGAACAAACAGAGAGAAAGAAACCCACTGAGTCTGAGAGAGCTGACTGTCCTCTGAAGGACCCTTTAGGCAACTGAGCCAACTTTTAGGGTTTTTTCTGAAAAAACAAGATGAAGTACAGTCATGGCCCAGCAGGAGCCCTGGAAGATGAACTAAAAAGGGATTTATAACAAGAAAGAAAAAGGGAGATTTAAGTAACTGCTTGTTCTTATCCAAAAACACAGGCTTTACCAATTCAATCATAACCCTGCATCAATATTTAGCTTGGGGATGTCCCAATAAATGCAAATACATTGTGACAGAAGAGTTCAAGATAAACACATGTCAAATCACAGCTTAGAAATTATAAACTTCATTTCCCATGACCCACTAGAAACCCAAAAGCAAGTTCTCATCCCAGTTATATTTATGTTGACACCTGAAATCAACTGAGATTCAAGGTGTTAACTGCTGAACCAACAATCACAGTAGAAGCAGTGACAATATATCTGTCTCGCTGAGAACGTGGTGGACTGGAAATCATTTCCAACAGAGAGCAAGACAGAGAATATTTACATCAGACTACAGTTAAGAGCTACTATCCATAATAGCCACATGAAATTAAAGATGAAACTTGCTTTGGGTCCAAGCAGTTCCATTGGAGGTTCTTCAGTGACTCAGCAAAGAGAGGATTAGTGGTGACTACTTGCTGCAGAGGATAAGTGCCTATGTTTTTAAAACTACTGTCACAGTAGTATCCTCAATAACAAGGCCAGAAGCTGGAACCAGCCCCCAGGCTCCTCCTTGCTCCAAGCTGATGCCTGTTCATTTGTGACAGTGCAGCACGAATTCTCATCCTGCAAATCACAGATACTGTTCTTGCAAGAGAGCCTAAGTTTTGTTTATCTTGGGGTTGTAATTTGGCATTTCTGTTCAGCCATAAAGTGTCAGTAATAGTAAAATGATTTAAAAGAACTGGAACTATTTAAAAGATAACTAGTGAACTCATGGTTTTCCTCAGGGTTGGCTTTACTCTAAACAGAATTTGACATAACACAGGGATTTTGGTCAAGGAGCTGACTTTTCAAGACACTGCCAGGATCTCCCTAACAAGGAGAAATGCATATGACCACAGCTTTACCTATGCTGAAGTATTAGCACTCCTGCAGCTCTGTACTCTATCTACACAGCAACATTCACACAATCTGATGTCAAAGACTGCTCCTTGGTATTCAGTCACTTCCTTTGATTAGAAGTAATAGGAATGTCAAATCCAAATACTCAAAGAACAGCAGAGAATAATATGAAATGGATAGCAATAGATAAGGAATCACAAAACTCCAGCTCGGGGGTGGTGGTGAAGCCATGTGAATGCCTAGAGGTTAAACCATCACAGACAGGAAGTAAAGAAGCATGGAGCTGGAGTCTCTCAGCATGCTAGAAATGTGAGATATGAATTCTAAGGTTGAAAAGCAGAACACATTTCTGGGAAAGAGAGAAGAGTTTAAAAAAAAAAAAGATACAGGCTTGAAAACAAATTTCATTAGTGAAACTGGGAACTCTGCCCTCTCCCTGGACCTCTGTGCAATCCTAAACACAATTTGACAGTGGGGGCCATTAGAAGGACGCAATGAAATTAATCTCTGTTTACATAGGAGAGTAGCTCTGTCCCAAGCAAAATGAGTGGATGTTGGGGTTGTATTTTGTTAACCCTGGCTGTGATAGGGAAAAAGTCGTGGCATGTTCTTTTCCTCTCTGGCAGTGACAGTCCTAATGCTTTTGGCATGAGTGGATCATGCCAGGGCATCGAGAGCTGCTGTGCAGGCTCTACACCTCTGGTTCTGGTTACACTCCCTCCCAGTGAACTGTGGTGCCTGGCTTGGTGCTGGCACAGGCACCATCCACACTTCACAAAGGAAACACAACTCAGAAGGAAGCAGAGGGATATAAAGCTCTGGTTGAGAAGGCAGTACTGGGTTAACTGTTGGACTTGATGATCTTAAACTTTTTTCCAACTTAAACGATTCTATGACCCCACTGTCCCTGCCTAAGAGCCACTTGGCCCCATCCCTCACCTACCCCTAAGACAGCATTTATCCGTGGGGCACTCCAGTCCCCCAGGCAAAGGACACCTCAGGGGAGAGCCCTGGTAAAACACTTCACTTTACTGTGGTAACACCCCTGAACTCCACTCTCACTGTATCGTTGAATTTCTCATTCTCAGAGCCATAATCTTGACTCTAAACCTTGACTGGGCTCTAAGCCAAGATATCAGCCACGTCCCCAGCTCACATGGTGTTGAGGGAACGCTACCAACAGCCTTCCAAATGTTTTGGCAATGGCTTTTGTTGTCCCTCTCTCACTGTACATCTAGATTTTTCTTTCTTTCTTTCTTCCTAACCCTATCTCAGTGCCTGTATCAAGTCTTGTACAATGGGATACACCACAAAACTTGGTGAACTTTAGGTAGGGATGGACCCAGCAGTCCCCAAGGGCAGAGCTACTGCTGTTCTCTAGTAATGTTTTGATGAGTACTCTGGCCTATCAGGTGGGCTGCATTATGAGAAACATCTGTGCATAATCCATCAGTGCCTCAGGGCATTTAGAAAATATTATTTAATTTAGTTAATAGATTGGGAGATGAGGACACCTACAGGAGGAGGGATCTTCCCCAGGCTGTTCCTTTTTCCTGTTCTTCAATAATGTTGTTGACATTACACCATGTTTCGTGCTACACAAAACAGCTAGTTGGTCTGGAGAAGATGCTTCAGGGTGCTCTAGGTCCACCCAGAGCTCTTCTGTAAGATTGCTTACAAACTCAACTTAAGCACATGCTTAAACATTCTCTGAATCCTTGATCACAGAAAGCTCATATGCCCTTGGAGATGTTCAGATAACGTGCAAAGTGTGAGGCAGTCAGAGGAAGCAGATTTGGTCCAGCTGCTTTTCCATGTGTAATAGGGAGCATAAATATTGGCAGGATAAAATTGAGCTGATCTATGAGCCCTCTCACAGCTGTGGGGAACAGCATTTCAATGACTTTCAGCTAACATCACCTTAGGTACTTACAGTTGCCAATGTTTTTTTCTCCTCTGTTATGGCTTGTTCAGCAATTCCTAAACTTCAGAATGTTAGGGCTATAAGAACAGAATATGAAGATGTGAGGTACCTGCCCACACAACCTGAACTCTATGCTTGAATGACATCCCAGTCCAGGCACAATTCCTACTCTCAGCCTGTTTCTGAGCTTCCTAGAACAGGAGCTGTTGATAGTTACAGCCATATATTTAAATGGCACAACAGAAATAACCATGCACATGGCACTCATCTGAATCCCTTCACCTTTTCATTTTAACCAACAGCAATCCTACAAATCACATTAATTTCCCACCAAAGTGGGAATAAAAATTTACGTTTCCCCTCAGGCAAATGCTTTATTTATTCTCCAAACTTGAATGATTTACAAGCACCTATTGTGACATTCACTATTTCGTAGTCAGAACAAGATTATAGAGTTTTAGTATTTGGGATAACAGAACAATGTGATGCTTTATTTTTTATAATATTCCAGTAAGCCCTTAGGTACCATCCTCCACCCAATACTATCCCAACCACCTCCCTACTTTCAGTAGAGGTTGACACACAATGAAGAATTGCAGGGCTTATTTTAAATCCAGTCTCATGGTACAAAATAAACTTCAGCCTGGGAAATCTGGCAGGTGAGAACTTCATGTGCATGAAGTCGGTTATTAATCCCCCAGCTCCAGGTAGCTCTGTGTCCTGCTTTCACACACAGCAGGTGTGGGCCTGGAACACAATCTGCCTTAGGTTGGTTCTAACACAACAGGGAGCAAAGCAATAGAACAGGTCATGTCCTACTGGGTCCTAAATCTTGGTTCTGGGGCCCATTTTGCAGTTATATTCAGTACTGCTGGAAATGCACCAAGAAATCTGGTTCAGGGTGAGAACAGCCTGTTCCAAGACAGTTTCTCTCATTTCAGCATTTAAAATGCGCTTGAATGTTTGGCTCTGCATCCAAAGCAGAAACTCTTAATTCCATCCTAACATTATACAAGTACAAGTCCCATATGACTGTGAGATGTTATCATGGTAATTTTGGTTGCAGAATTGGGCAGTTGAAATGAGAAAAAAAAATTAAAGAAGCTAATAATGGATGATGGGAAATCTCATGCATTCAAAATGCTGTTACATTAGAAAAGAACTTCAGCTCATGTACTGTAAGGAAACACAACCATCTTCCACTTTCAGGGAACAAGAAAGTTCTTCTGACAAGAAGTTAAAATTCATATAAATCCAAAGTACGTTTAAAAGTGTATTTGACTGAATACAAATGTCAATACCATTTCTGTAAACATCTTCATGCAAATCCCACATGGTCAGGTCAAATAAATAAATAAAATTGGACAATAAATATGCTTAAAAACTTTGAAATGTGAATCAACACCAGAAGTTGTTCTGAAATGCAGTGCTGAACTTTCTAGAGGAGCAGCCAAGGGGGGCTGAGGAGTCAAACAAACAGCATCCATCTCACAAGGGGATTCAGAGTCAAAGCTCAAAGACAATATTCAAATATACATGAAGCAATTATCTGTGGTATGTTAATTTCTAGGTCAAATACACATGTACTCCCAACATTTCACTGGAGTCTTGTAGTACCTGAATCTCTATTCTTCGCATAGAAAGATGAGACTCTGCCATAGTCCTTTCCATGCATTCTTTCAACTGACAGGCAGTAACACCAACCTCCAAGATTTTTTTCAAAGATGTGCAATATATAATGTTTCTCTCAGGGATGTTAATTTTAAAAAAAAAAATCAATAACCGACACTTTCTTAAAAAGGCCTCATGAACTCTCCTCTGACTTGGAGCACTTGGATCTGGTAGTACCAAATCAGAGGTAAAACAACTTGTCTCTCCTTCAGCTATCAGGGAGCCTCCTCCCAAATCACAGAGGTGTAAATCAGTGTAAGCAAACAAATTCCAGGAGCCATTTCAAGGCTCCCCTTCCTAAAGCTGCTCAATTGCAGATGCTTTTACTTAAAGGAACTCATGTCAGAGGACACTCAGCTTATTCAGTACTTATTTTAAAAGGTCCACAGGAAAATAACTTCAAGGACAAAAGATCTCCCAGCATTGAGGTCAATCCCAGTCCTTCCACTGGTTTCTGCAGACCCAAAGCCCTGTCCAGCATTCACAGAAGCTTCTTACATGAGGTTCTACTTTCTACCTCTTTTTTATATTCTTTTCTGAGGTGCTGTGACTGATCCTTCTTCATGGGCTCTATGCAGTTCCCCATTCATACTTCACTGTGCTTGTCAGGCTGAAGCAGCCAATATCCAAGGCTTTCAAGCATCACCTCCTGGTCACTCACCCCAGCAATCTATATTGACTTCTCTCTTCTTGACTGCCAGGAGCTAAAAACTGCATGTTTTAAGAGGAAATTATTCACATGCATAAAAGACTGCAGAATCAGGAAGGATAAAGATGAAAGCCAGTTGGCAGACAGCCACTAGTGGGAGAGACATTCTGCTCCCCAAATATGGCTTACAAAAGGAAGAGGAGATTATTAAAGGTATCATTAAATAGATTCACTGCTCTTTAAGAATGGCAGTTCCTGGTTTTAACTGGAAGGATAAAAATAACATGAAATACTGTATCAGTTACAAAACCAACCAGCTACAGCTTAATTCCATCCTGAACTGCCTCCCTTCCTAAGGCTAATATTTCTTCTTTATTATACTTCATTTTGTTAAACAGCTTAGAGCTGCATTTACTTGTTTATGGTTCTTTGGAGTACTGGGGTGATAAAAGGACCTGGATGCTAAAGTAATCCAAGGACATCTTGCCATAGTGATATACAGGTTCTTTGGGAAAACTAACCTAACACAAATCTTGTAGATAGAGAAGCTGCCTTTCAGGGACACAGAAAGAGCAATCACATTTGTAGGCACCCAGCACTGCAGAGCAAGGAATATCACTGTGACCTCTGCTGAGGGACAGAGGCTTCTCCACCACACTGGTGAATATTATGCAGCTTGGAAGACTCTGGGAAATGTGTAGGACCGTGAAGAGCTGTTTGTTCTGAGTGAGAGCAGTGATTACCTGACATACAACAGATTCTCTCTGGGAGGCCCAGACTGTACAGCTGGAAATGCACAGAATTTAGAGGCCAGTTTGGAGCTCTGTAACAAATTCCACAGTCAGAGAATCATTCCATAAGGAATCCATCTCTCCCTCAGGGCAGGATGCACATCCAGGTGTATGATGGAGGCACAGCCAAAGGCAATCCCTGTTCTTCACAGTGCTCCCGTCCAGCCCTGTGTGTAAGAACTGCAGCTCACCTGGGAAAAGGTGACATTGTCCTCAATGGCACTTTACAGAAACCTGATGAACTGAGAAACAGAACATCAATTTGGCAAAGTATAAATAGCAAGCAGAGTTCCTGCTGCACGCTTCAAGTATTAGTTAAAGCTAAGCATTCATCTTTATCTTAGTGCATGAAGATCTTGCTTTGCAAACATAGCAAAATATCTGGAAATGAAACCATAGTTATCAGCTTGAAGCACCATTTCTTTCAAAATCAACAGGAAAAGCTTCTCACAAATGGAACAAAGAACTGGAATAGAAAATGGTACATTAAATGTTGTTTTCCCAGACTTCAACCCTTATGTTAATAAAGCTAAACTCAGAAGGTAGTTCCAGCACTAATAGTCACCATATTCAAATTTCCTCAGATTCCTGATCCAAGACTTGCTTTAGCCCCCTGCACAATGCATTATGTTCACACACTTGGCCACCAATACTCATGTTTTATTCTAAGTGTTGAAAGGCTGGAATGACTTAATCCCTCAGGCTTCTAGATTCATGTGATTATGCAAGAAATCCGACTTAAATTAAAAACATGTTTCTAGCATGGAGAAGAAAATCTTCAAAATGGGACTGCTAAAGTTGCAAAACTCAAAGTACACATTGAAAGGCTTCTTAATTCAGACTATTCTTAAGGTACTCTCAAGACTGTGGGAGGCAAGCTGGAGCTGTAACTCCTGATACCATGCTATCATGCAATATCTTAAGCAGAACTTAGGCAAAACTGTGACAATTTTGCAGAAATCATTAGGGAAAACTAATGCATTTACCTTAATAGAAATTACCTGATAGGTACAACAACTGTGTCTTTTCTGTCACCCTCTTGTATATGATGCAAGACCCTGAAGAACACATTTTTTTCCCTGCAGAGCTGTTCCATTGCTTTCCATCAACCCCTGCAGATTACACATCTCAGCAGGTACCAGTGCACCACTGTCCCTGCTTCTGGGTCTTTTAAAACCAAGAGTTACTCCAATTTTTACTTTATATTAAAATACAAAGAAAGTGCTCTCTGAGCTGATAAAAGAGCTGCAACATAAAAGATAAGCCACAGAAACATTTCTGTGAAGCTTTCTGTTTCTGCCTGAGAGTGCCCTGGCACCAGCAGCGCACAAGTGCAATAGTCTTGTACTTCTTGAGGGTGAATTTTTTATAATCTGAAGTGGAACCCATAGGAACTCCTATCCTTTCAGAATCTGTAGTTTTCTGAAAGACTCTGCTGCTTGATATGTATTTATTTACCCTGAGAAATAAGTTTAACATAGAACATTAGTGTCCCAGCTAAATAAATAAAACATACAAGGGACTGCCCAAAGAGCTGCACTCTGAAAGGAGGCAGACATGGGGATGCCTCGTCCTGCAATGGTTAAACGCACCCTGAGTGCCTGATGGCATATCCTACACAAGGGCTAATGTTTTCTCAAATACAAATGAAGTCTCATCTTCATCCATGTGAAACTCTGACTTACAGCCTCAGCAGGCCTGTGCACGTTAGGGACTGTATAAAGCTGATGTCTGCATGATCCAAACAGCTTTGGAGAGAGAAGTTGCTTCAACTGGACCAAAAACATTATGACAGTTCTGAAAATTCCCCTTTTCTCCTCACCTAGATGAATCCAGGCTCTGTTCCAGCTGGTTTCTCATTAACTGGTTTGTTCCCATCACAACTGAACAGACTATATGTTTTCTAATCATTTCACTCATCCCTGACATATCAACACCCAAACAATTCCCCAGCCAAAAGAAAACATTTGACAGATCTTCACTGCTATGACACTCTAACCTGTCCCTACAGGAAGAGATTAAATTAAACCTGCACAAGCAAAAAGATCTGACTATGTTATCAAAAAACTGTGCTATTTCTCTAAATTAGATTATTTCTAATTTATCGTTTCCTCTCATTGATTAACATTATCAGGTTAAAGTTACAGTCGTGTTCCCAGCTTGGACTTATGGTTTGCTGCATCTAAGTCAGATTTTGCAAGAAGCTGGAGTGTCCAAAAGCCTGGCTGTTTCTCCCTCAATATCCATCAGCTCTACAAAAGATGGCATCTTTCTCTGCAAACACCATTTCACAGGGGAAAAGCCACTTACTAAAACCTTGATGTGACACTCCTCCTGTACCCAAACTTCCACTGAAGTCTGAGGCCCCACATGATTTAATTCACAGTTTTTTCAGTACTGCTTTCAGAAAAGAAGGCTGTGTGAGCTCCAGGGACAGCACTGTAAGCACCAGAACCACAGAGTCTGGTTTCTTACATGTCCCAGGAGTTTAACCTGAACATCAGTACAGGTGCAAGCTGCCACTGGAGTACTTAGAGAGTCTCTTTTCTCAGTGGATTTTCTGGTACCGAGTGTGGTATTAACTCACTCTACTATGCACAAATTG